TTAAGTGATTGGGAACCAAAAGATTAATTTCTAAACCTCCCAAAATAGTGATTTCTTATCCTTTGAAGTTTTCACAGTTGATGCCTAGTTCTTTAACATTTCCCATGATTTACTGGGAACAGCCTCCCCGTTCTAAAATGGTGTGAATGTAGGAAACATTTTGCCTTTTGGAACAAGTCATCAAAATCTTCATTTCATAGTAGCGTCATGTGGACGAGCCAAGAAAACTAGACTGGCAGCAGGTGCCATGGAGTGTGTTTTAGGTACACCCAAACAGATTCCTTTTGAACTGAGTAACTCTATACTGGCCACCGAAATCCTACTGGGAGTTGTCTTTGACCGTGGATTAGATCACTGTTGTTGTCTAAGGAGGAAATGTCGAGGTGCCCCAATTGTTCCATGAATTGAGCAAAATGACTGGCTGCCCTCATGGTAGCGATGACCAGGTAATTTGAGAATATAGTGGCTTTTAAAATTTGTATGTTCCAGGAGACTTGATCTTTGTATATATTCTTGTTGAAAATTAACAGTGGGTCTTCTAAGGAGTTGCATCTGAAACCCAGAAGGGGAGATTTCAAGAGTAGACTTGTACGTCAGGTTTTCCTAAAATATTAGCCTCTTTACTTATCTGCAGAAGATAGTTACATAAGTCTTTAAGAAACTCACTGGTCTCACTGGTGTCTTTCTCCTTTCAGGCACACGTGCACACGCCCCTCCCTCCGCCGCCCCCCGCCCCACCCCACTATAGCTCTTTCTTAGATAAAAATGTGAGAGGACATTATAAATTTGACATTTTTCTTTTCCCAACTCTAGGAGTGGGCTTTGCCACCAGGAAAGTGGCCGGCATGGCCAAACCCAACGTGACCATCAGTGTGAATGGGGACGTGATCAACATTAAATCTGAAAGTACCTTTAAAAATACTGAGATTTCCTTCCAACTGGGCCAGGAATTTGATGAAGTCACAGCAGATGACAGGAAAGTCAAGGTGAGGAATAAGGGATCGAAGCAGAGTAAATGCCTGGTTTCTAAATGACCACAAAAAGAAGCCAGTTTGCAAAAGGAGGAAATCTGTTTCATCACAGGCCAACGATGCCTGACTCCCAGATCTGAACCATATTGCCTTTGGTATTTAGTTGGTGAATTTGGCCTTTTTTTTTTATACAGTTGTCTTATTATTCAAGAAAACAATTAACATAACTTATTTCTTATACCATATATATATAGTATTTGACATCAACTAAAGTAACAACAACGTTAGAGAACTTTTATAAAAGAGTGGAAGGAAAAAAGGAAAAAATCTCCTATGGTACCACCATCTCAACATACGTTTATTATCTATATATTTTCACTGTATTTTTTCAAATGCATGTTTGTATAATATTCTGCTCATAATATATATAAATATATTTTTTTTATATATACACACATATAAATAAAATTTTGTATGCTATTGTTTTGGGTACTCCTTTTTTTTCAATTCCTGCAATATTTTCTTGTAATATAGAATTACTAGTGACCTTAAAATGTTCCTTCAAATAAAGGTGCTCTATTTTTTATTTTATTTTTTTCCACCACTTTCATCGCTTTCTCTTATGCCTCAGAGCATCGTAACATTAGATGGAGGTGCCCTGGTCCAAGTGCAGAAGTGGGACGGAAAATCAACCACCATAAAGAGAAAACTAGTGGATGACAAACTGGTGGTGGTGAGTATCTTCTAGCTACTTAATTCCAGAGTCTACTGCTAGGGTATCTCACTGTCATTACTCTACCCAGAGAAGCAGATAACTGCCCTTGTTGAACAAAGAGGTTATTCTGTTGGGATTCTGGTTTCACTCTGGCAATTACCCTTTATGCTTTTTAGCTCAGCCCAGGCACACTGTCCCCCAGGAAGCATTTCTCGAACCTTCTCAACATGAACCATATTGTACTGTGTATTTCTAATTATGTTTCCCACTCACCATATAGATTGTAAGGTTCCTTGAGGGCAAAGCTTGTATCTTCTTGATCTTTCAGTCTCCCTAACTTATTGCAGTATCAGGGATCTATATGAACTCAGAGCTAATGTCTCTTGATGAATATTGCTTCTTTTCCAACACTGAAGGAGACAATGAATAAACAAAACATAAGTGGTCTAGTCTCAGGGATTTACCAACAATTTTTTTTTGTGCCTAGGAATGTATCATGAAAGATGTGATTTCCACCAGAGTTTATGAGAAAGCATAAGCCAAGGGACATTGAGCTGGACTGAAGTTTGCATCCAACTCTACGACATTCTGTCGGATGTGTTGTTCAAACATACGTTATTTTCCACTAACTAGCAAGTGACTAATTTCCCCCCAAATTGATTTTATTCAATATGGTTGCGTTGGTTAAATAAAACTTTTTAGATTTACAAGGTGATGTAATGATTTATTCATTGTGTTGGACAATTTCTCTTTTTTTTTTTGACAATTTGTTACTCATAATTCAGTAATGGAAATAGAAAAGTCTATTAGCACTTTGTTTCCAGTATGAGTAGTATGACTTTTCATAATAATCCAAGGTGAAAAAATTAGTATTTATGAATTTTCCATTGTCTTAGGTGGAAGATGATAAATATGTGCTATTACTAAATATGAAGTCTTTCTTTAGCATAACTATAGTCAAATAGCTATATCTTAACTACTAAGGTAGTTTTAAATGTAATGAAATTGTACACAGTCCACAGCTGGCCCAGGTACTGTCATTTCTCACCCTCTGTCCTGGAGCTTTAGGAGAGAGAGGTAGAGTAGCAATGAGTAATGTGGGAAAAGGTTTCTAGGCTACAAGTTTTAACCTAAAAAAATATTGGTAAACCAAACTATCCCTGGATCTCCCAAGAATTAAGTCCAAATAATCCCATGATATTTATTCCAGAAAAGAGGTGACAGCCTTGTAATGAATAATGATGCAAATGTTCTTGTAGTGGTTTCCAAATTTTCCTTTTTTTCTTACCAATGGCACTTTTTATTCAAATAAGATGTTGAATATGTTCTAGAATTTTTATTCAAGTAAAATCTCCATGGTACCCTGATATACAAAGCAGACAAAAATGATAATAAGGCTTCCTAGGTAGGAGTATGTGTTCATTTGTGTGCATGTGTGTGTGTGTGTACGTGTGTATTGTTTCTTCTGCACACTGTGGAGCTTTGAAGCATCACTACAGATCATTGGCGTTCCATGTACAACAAAAAACAACTTGACTTAAAAACAGGCAAAGAACTTGAATAGACATTTCTCCAAAGAAGATATAGAAATGGCCAATAAGCACATGGAATGATGTTCAGCATCACTAATCATTCGTGATTATGCAAATCAAAATTTCAATGCGATACCACCTCATACTCATTAAGATGAAGACACTATTTTAAAAAATAACTTATTAGTGAGGATGTGGAGAAATTGGAGCTTTTGTGCAGTGTTAGTGGGAATGTAAAGTGGTACAGCTACTGTGGAAAACAATAGGCTATTTCCTAAAAAAAATTAAAAATAGAATTACCATATGATCCAGCAATTCTACTTCTGAGTATATACCTGAAAGAATTAAAAGCAGGGACTCAAAGAGGTATTTGTACACCCATGCTTATAGGAGGATTGTTCACGATTGCTGAAATGTAGAAGCAATCCAAATGTCCATCAACAGATGGATAAGCAAACTGGTATTTACATACAATAGAATATTATTGTGTTAAAAAGAAAGAAAATTCTGAGATATGCTACAACATGGATGAGCCTTGAGGACATTATGCTAAGTGAACTAGGCCAGTCTCTCTATCACACACACACACACACAAAGAAATATTGCATGATTCCACTTCATAGAGTACTAAAAGTCATGGAGGCAGAAAGTAGAATGGTGGTCACCAGGGAATGGGAAAAGGGGAGAGTGGGGGGCTATTGCTTAATGGGCATAGAGTTTCAGTTTTGCAAGACGAAAAGAGTTCTGGAAATAGATGGTTGTGACAGTTGCAAAACAATATGAATGTATTTAATGCCGCTGAAGTGTGCACTTAGAAATGGTTAAGACAATTAATTTTATGATAAGTGTATTCCACCACAATAAAACATTAGGAAAAAAAATGTAATGTGGCTCCAGTTAAAATATTCAACGTACAGTGATACTTTTGTAGCTTCTAGTACATATTTAATTTCATCAGCATGACTCAGCAATGGAAAATGTAGCATCTCAAAATTAAAGTTTTATTCAAAACTACTTAACATCTAAAATGTCACAGGACAGAAAGCTGATGTAGAAAACGAGATACTGAAGAAGC